TATTGAATTATTTAATTTCCTCTTTTACATGAACATATTGTTCCTGAGTGAAATTAGATGTAAGGATAGAATGGGATAGGATCATGTAAAGCATTTAGTACTAACTCTTTAAAACAACTGGTAAATCCATCATAACTATTACGCATACACTGGTTTGCCATTGTTTTGTTCTCTCAGGTTGTCTGGCAACATCAAGGCTTGGATTAGTGTAAACTTTCTGCAGTTGAATATGGACAAGACGGAAGCCATACTCCTTGACTCCTGTCAACGTCTTCACTCCTACGGATCTAAACTCCTCAACCTCCCTGGGCTCTACCTGAGACTCACCGAACCAGTGCGCAACCTAGTCTTCTGGTTTGACCCCCAGCTGTCCTTCCTCCACCACATCTGGTCCCTAATCGGACCGCCTTCTTCCACCTCCGTCACATTGCCCGCCTCAGACTGTATCTTACCCCAAATGCAGCCGAAACCCTCTTACATTTGTTGGTCACCTCCCGCTTGGATTACTCCAACGCACTCCTCGCTGGTCTCCCCAGCTCCACCATTCAAAAGATCCAGCTCAATCAAAACTCTCCTGCCCGCATACTGACCCAGATCAAACTCCGTACCCACATCTCACCAGTTCAGGCCAGGCTCCACTGAACAGATCGACTTCAAGATCCTCACACTTGTGTTCAAATGCCTTTACTCCCCGGTACCTCCCTACCTCTCTGACCTCTTCACTCTCCTGCTTGTCCCCCGCACATCCCCGCCCTGCCATCGGAGGTCGTGCTTTCAGCTACTACAACCCAAAACTCTGGAATACTCTCCCTCCATCCCTTCGCCCTCCCCCTAAAATACCTCTCTCCCCTCTTTCAAATCCTGCCTGAAAACTTTCCTCTTTGACCATGCCTGCGGTCACCTTCCCACTCCCCCAGGCTCGGAGTCAGGCTCCGCCACTGCTAAGTGCTCTGAGGTGCCTCTCTGTGTGGAGGGCGCTATAGAAGTGCAAGCTGTTGTTGTTTGCTCTTTGCTACCAGATCAGAGCTGCCTTGTTGGAGGCTTGGGAGCAGTTTGGCTCATATGCCATAAGATTAATAAACGAAAAGGAGAAAATGCTTTGCTCTATCTTTTTCATTAATCTTTTATATATTTGTATCTATGAAATATGTTCCTCATTTCACTGCTATTAATATATGTTTTACATTCGTAAATTGTTGTATCACACATCCAAAGCCATTTCCCATGCGCCCTGTTTGGCCCACTAATTCATCTGCTGCAAAGGAAGCAAATGATAATTGCTCCGAGGTCATAAGTAATTTTTTTTTACTCCTAGATCATAATTTCTAGACCTTCAGTTGTGTATGTAAGCAATAGACAACCTATTTGACAAGAACAGCAACAACAACAAAATTACATTTGTATAGCGCCTTTCGTGTCAGGAAGATGTCCCAAGGCACTGGACTGACAGAGTTACAGACCCGAGCTGGCCTGAGGAACTGGCACACTAAGAGCTGAGCGTAAATAGTTCAGACGCTAAAGAAAAGTGAGTTATGTTGATTTGCTCGATTATTGCTGCTCCCTGTGGTGAGGGACTGAAACTTTGGTCACTGGCTCCCTCTGATGGTATGGCTGAAATCATAGATGTAATGCGTGGGGAATAATGAGTGCGAACCCATACGTCACAATTCAGTGATAAAATTCGTTGAAGCACCAGTGAGAGACAACTTTTAATATTATTTTAAAGTATTTTCTTTATTTTTAATCCTTTTTATTTGTACCATTTGGGTTTTTTATGTAATAGTTTCTTAAGCTCTTTATTTATTTTCTCTGTTCTTTTCGATTTGTTTTTCATTCTTCTCTGATCTCCTTTCTCTCTTGGGCAATAATTAACAGCCAGATCTTTTAAGGAATTTCCAAACATTTTATATAGTGCTTAAAGCAGTCAAAGCTGTTCCATTCAACAATTATTCCAGATTTCAGTTCTTAAATGATCCAGTTTCATCTCACCCATACTGCAAAAGACAGCTGTTAGAAAAAACAAACAGATCTTGCCAACAGGATTGATCTGGTTGATATTTCCAATTATCTGCAAGGCTGCATTTGGCTTGGTAGCTCATGTCAGGAGATAAGAGACAATAATGGATTGGGGGAGTATGGGTACACTTATCAGGCAGCCTTTCCCTATTTAATAGTCAATCCCCCACTCGTGCTGTATGAATTTTATGTGTGCTTTAAATTATGTGTTCCAGTGTAAACATAACCCCTGGCATCTCTGCTAATCAGAGATATAAATTGCTGGAATACAAAAAAATATATTTTATGAGTACTGTACACACAGGGTCTTACAGAATGTTATAATATGCATATTTAGCTGCTAAGTACAGAAATAACAGTTTACCATTTTAATTTAGATAGGAACAACAACAACAAGATTACATTTGTACAGCGCCTTTCACGTCGGGAGGATGTCCCAAGGCGCTGGACAGTGCACATCATTTCAGACCCGAGCTGGGGTTGGGGGGGGGTAAGGGAGGGGAGGGGAATGGGGGTGGCCGATGGCATGGTCAAAGTGGAGGGTCGTGAGGCGGGACTTGAAGGAAGCTAAGGAGGGGGCGAGGCGGAGTGACTGGGGGATGGAATTCCAGAGGTTTGGGGCAGAGTGGCTGAAGGCTCTCCCGCCAATGATGATAAAATAAAATAAAATTGAAGGTAAAGTATACTTCTGTAATTGCTTCATGTCTAGGTGAACCTTCTGTGCATTGCTACATTGTCAAATATGTTGTCCTTTGGATAATACAATTAACATTTACATACCACCTATTATGTCAGGAAGCTGAGTCTCTCCACACCTTTAAATCCCGCCTAAAGGCCTTCCTTTTTGATTGTGTTTACAGTCACATAAGAACATAAGAATTTGCGAGGCGAAAGAAGACCAAGGTCCATCTAGTTCGCCTTCCGCCATCCTGGCAGTTGCATGACATGTCGTGTCCCAAACTATACACTGCACCCCAAGACATTATTTTCTTGCAGAAATCGATCTAATTTGTTCTTGAAACAAATAACACTTTCCGGTTTCCACTGTTCCATAAGTTTACTGATCGTTCATTGAAGTAGTCTCACCCCCCCACCCCCACCCCCCGGCGCTGGTTGTCAGACTCAGCCACTATGAAGGGCTCCAGGAAGGAGTGAAGGGTGCTACATAAATACAAGTTGTTGCTGTTGTTGTTGACGTGTCTCCTTTCTGTCTCCCTGAGAGTCTGTTTGACTGACTGACTGACTGCAGGAGCTGCTCTGGGATGGTAGAGGGCACTAGTGGCCCGTATTTCCTTGCAAACAGATGCAACAGCTGAGTCCCAAGTCAAGCAACGCACACATACACACAAGGCAAAGGCAATAGTTTTGTGTGTGCAATATCACAGCCCTCTCCACAGGACACACTGCAATCTGCAATCTGTAATCCTCCAAAACACACACCAGAAAACAATCAATTAAACATTTTGCAGGAAATATCAAAGATATAATCCCCACGTTTACAGAACAAAACGATCTGATGTGTTTTCTTTGTTTAAACAAATGCAAAGGTATAATTCGGGTTATTATTATTATTAAAACGAGCTGCAATTTAATATTGTTTTACGAACACATTGCATTGCACGTTGCGCTAGAAAAGCCACGATTTTTTTATTTATATATATATCTACACCCAAAAATAAGGGTGAGATAAAAGTGAAAGGTGTTCAGGGGGAGGAGCTGGTGGAGGAGAGGGTGAAGGTGGTGGAGGAGGTGGAGGAGAGGGCTGGTGGTGGTGGAGGAGGAGAGGGTGAAGGTAGTGAAGGAGGTGGAGGAGAGGGTGATGGTGGGGAAGCAGGTGGAGGAGAGGGTGGAGGTGGTGGAGGAGGAGGAGAGGGTGAAGGAGGTGGAGAGGATGGAGGTGGTGGTGAAGGAGAGGGTGAAGGTGGTGAAGGAGAGGGTGAAGGTGGTGAAGGAGGTGGAGGAGAGGGTGGAGGTAGTGGATGAAGCGAGGGTGAAGGTGGTGAAGGAGCGGGTGAAGGTGGTGAAGGAGGTGGAGGAGAGGGTGGAGGTAGTGGAGGAAGAGAGGGTGAAGGTGGTGAAGGAGAGGGTGAAGGTGGTGAAGGAGGTGGAGGAGAGGGTGGAGGTGGTGAAGGAGGTGGAGGAGAGGGTGGAGGTAGTGGAGGAAGAGAGGGTGAAGGTGGTGAAGGAGAGGGTGAAGGTGGTGAAGGAGGTGGAGGAGAGGGTGGAGGTGGTGGAGGAGAGGGTGAAGGAGGTGGTGAAGGTGGTGAAGGAGGTGGAGGAGAGGGTGGAGGTGATGGAGGAGGAGAGGGTGAAGGAGGTGGAGGAGAGGGTGAAGGAGGTGAAGGAGAGGGTGGAGGTGGTGGAGGAGGAGAGGGAGGAGGTGGAGGAGATGGAGAGTGGTGGAGGTGGTGGAGGAGGAGAGGGTGGTGGAGGAGAGGGGGGAGGTGGTGGAGGAGATGGAGGGTGAAGGAGGTGGAGGAGGAGAGGAGGTGGTGGAGGAGAGGGGGGAGGTGCTGAAGGAGGAGAGGGTGGTGGTGGTGAGTGGGGAGGTGGGGAGGGGGTGGTGGGGAGGGGGTGTGGAGAGTGGGGGGGTGGGGAGGGGGGGTGGGGAGGGGGGGGTGGGGAGGGGTGGAGAGTGGGGTGGTGGGGAGGGGGTGGTGGAGAGGGGGGGTGGGGTGGTGGTGGTGGGGAGGGGGAGGTGGGGAGGGGGGAGTTAGGGAGGGGTGGTGGAGAGGGGAGGGGGTGGAGGGGGGCGGTGGAGAGTGGGGGGCGGTGGAGAGTGGGGGGCGGTGGAGAGTGGGGGGCGGTGGAGAGTGGGGAGGTGGGGAGGGGTGGTGGAGAGTGGGGGGGGAGGTGGGGAGGGGAGGGGGTGGAGGGGGTGGTGGTGGGGAGGAGGGGGTGGGGAGGGAGGGGGTGGAGGGGAGGTGTCACCACCCCCTTATTATAATAATGTCCTTTCCCATTCGTTCTCTCTAAAGAGAGGGAGAACGAATGGGAAAGGGCTGCAGCACGTCTGTCAGGGTGGGAGCCGCTTGGCTGTGCCGTGAGGAAGAGTTGAAAATCGCTGCTGTGAGCTGTGTGTGTGATGAGTGAGTGAGTGAGAGAGAGAGAGAGAGTGAAGCCAAGCCAAGCCAAGCCAAGCCATGCTTTCCTCAGCTCCTGGTCAGTACAGCAGCAACTAACCCGGGCCACAGCACAGCACAACAAGAGCACAGCAGAGAGACTTGTGCCACCACTACACACCCAAACACGTCTTTTCTTTTAAAGGTAAGATCTCTCTCTCTCTCTCCCCCACTTTACTTAAAAGTTTGGATGATGTGCAATCCCTCCCAACTTCTCCCCCCACCCCCCCCCCCCCCCCACCCCTTGATAGACCAACAAAAAGTTTTAAAAGCCACACACACACACACACATACAGATCGAACCGGTTTCCCAGGCAGAGGGTTTGCAAATGTGGTGGTTAAAACTTTCTCAGAGTTTCTGTGCAAACGTTATTACTGCTCAAAACCCGAATCCAGGGCCGTATTGCAACCCTTTTCACTGCAGTGTTTGGAAGTGATGCTTTTTTGACGATGCTCCAAACCCATAGATATATCCCCTTTAAATGAGCTCAAGTTACTCGGATGGAGGAAATATTTTGAACACAGTTTAAGTCATTGGCATTTTGCAGTGGGGGGGGGGTATATGCAGTCATTTCACTTTGCCTGTACACCCTCCTACTAAATGCCAATGATTTTGTAAAAAAAAAGAGTGTAAATCATCCGATTTCTATACTCTGGATGGAAACGTGTCAATTGATTTGCAACTTTGTAACACAGAAGCTTTTAATGTTTTAGGAAGTCGGTTGTCCAAACAACTGGAACTTTCCTTTATGCAAATCCAGTTAAGAGCTTTCAGAGTGTGTGTGTGTGTGTGTGTGTTATTGGATACACTGATTTTAGTAACAGTATTCTCGCATTACTGTTGTGATTTTGCAAACTAAATATTTGGACAGAATAAGAAACAAAGTGTTCCTGACTGACACAACAACACTGAGCATAATGTTTCCCCTTAATGGAATGCTTTGCAAATGGGTATATGTTTTGTATAAGACTGGGGGTGGGGGGGTTGGTGGGGGGAAACGTTGGCCCATGTCATTGTTTATAAGGACTCTCTCTGCTCTTGGCAAATTGAAGGGGATCTGGAGCACCCAGACCCGTTGGCAAGAGGCAGTGTTTACCATTAGAACAACACGTCTGGTCTGAAGCTTGGATCCCACTGGGAGCAAATCTCAGAGCATCCTCTCTGCCACATCTTTTCCATTTCGTGTGTTGACAAACTGTTCCCAGCAATGTGCTTCAATGTTGTCCTGAGTTTATTTTTTTTTATATATATATCTCTCTATATTGCTATTTTCCTAACAATATTGTGTGGTGCGCCGGTCTTCTTGTTAACACAATGGGGTCTTGGAAGGGGATATGTTTATCGATATGGACGAGTTGGGGGGATTGTTTTATTGCACAACTATCTGCGGGTGGGATGGCAGGGGCTCACTCGTGCTGATCTGAGGGCTCCTCACTAACTAGTGCTATCAGGTCGACTCAGACTCACACTGTATAAAATGCAAGTACATCCTTAAATAACATTAAACATCCCTGTTGGGAAAGCGTGAGAGTGTTCCTACCAATATTAAGGCGGTAATAATCACATTTAATTTACTTGTTCTGATTTCTCACACTTACCTTTGAAGGGACATCCTAGTATAGATGGAGAGAAGTTATGGTATCATCCTAAAACAGCCTCACGTGTTGCTAATACTATACTGTACACAATGTGTCAAACAGGAACTGGGTCAGACAGTTGTCCTACATCTTCCCCCACACCACTCCCATAACAGGTGTCTAGAAATATTTAAGGATTTTTTTAGTCAGATTAATTTATGTCCACATTATTTTCAACATATGGTAATGTGAAGCAAAAATGAATGAGGTACCTTGTGAATGTCACAGTGATATGATATCTCAGGAGTCATTTGGTTCAGTACATAGCAAAGCACCATAGCAACAGTAACTGTCTCATTGACATGCAATACTGAGTAGTGTCCTGTAGCGATAACAACAACTAACCCAGAAGTACAATTTTATTCTGAAACAAACAAACTGTTAGACTTGATAGATAGCTAATGCTGCAGCACAGTGCTGAGGGTGTGCTGCATTGTTGAAGGGGCTGTCCTTCGGATGAGATGTCATACCTCGGTCCTATCTGCCTATTCAGGTGATGTAAAGATCCCATGGCACTATTTAAAAAAATAAATGAGTTGCTCCTGGTGTCACGGCCAACAATCCCCCAAATAAAATTGATCATTCACTTCATGGTTGTTTGTGGGATAATGCTGTGTGCAAATTGGCTGCTGCATTCATCCAGAAAACTCACAGTTTCTATGTTACTACACTTTACAGTATATCCCACAGAGTGCTCTGAGATATCCTCCTGATATGAAAGACCCAATACCAAATGTTTATTATAACTTATTATCAGCTGTATATAGCAGACAGGAACTGGGGTACATTTCAGATGGGGACTGGTATACCTGTCTGATATCCTCTAGGAAAATGTTAGCATAGAATATCTAATTCATAAAACAGAATGTTGAATTGATTTTTATCAAGTTTGTGAAATATAAGCTTTTTCTGTCCAAATATTATTTTTTAAATATTACTGGTACTAACATTCCTGTGACCAATTAGTGGCAATGTAGACACATGTAAATGTAAACTTGGGAGATCAGGCCAATGGGTGAATTGTCCATATATAGCTCTGCTCTCAGTATTCCAACATGCGTAAAACAGGACTAAAAATCTTTAGCAAAACAGGAGGTAAAAGGGCAATTTAGCTTGTTAAAGCCTTGTCAAACATCAAAAGGGAAATAGATAGATAGACAAATGGATGGACTTTCAGTTAGCCAGACAACAGAATGACAGTCAGACAGACAGACACATATAAGAGGTGTTATAATCTAATAAAATGGCAGAGTAAACTTGACAGACCAAATGGCCTGCTGGTGTTTGAACTTTCTTTTTATATAATTCTTGCAGCATCCTCCAGATGACAAAGCGAGTGAGAATTTAACACCAGGTTTGGACTAGTGTGAGTGAACTTAATAGACAGGAAGATTTCATTGTATCATCACAGCAATGAGAGAAGTGAAAAATGCAGAGATGTTCTCTGACTGATTCTATGCTTGCAGTGTGTTGGTTGGTATATTGTAAAAGAAGATGAGGTTCCATGGCTCTAGGAATAGGAGTAGGCCATTCAACTCCTCAAACCTGTTCTGCTATTTTATTAGATCATTGCTGATCTGTACCTCATCTCCAATTAGCCACCTTTGCCCCATATCCCTTGATACCCCTTACTTAACAAAACATCTATATCACCTCAGTCTTAAAAAATTGAATGGATCCAGCATCCAACAACAACTTGCACTAATATAGCGCCCTCCACGCAGGGTAGCATCTCAGATCCACAGCCTTTTGGTGGAGAAGAGTTCCAGATTTCTACTACTCAGAACTCCTTAGAATTTCTGAGAACATACTATAATCAGGAGATTTACGGTGAATTCAATTTTACTATTTCTATACTGGTCTCGAAGGATGTCTCAGTAAAATTAATGAACGAAGGAGTTAATTGGAGAACTGTATTGTCACTAACCAATAGCAAGCTAGGTGCCACAAGGATTTATTGCTCTGTTATTCTTGTTTTTTTAAAAAAAAGCATTTAGCAATATCACGTGTATTAGTGTTTAGTAATCACGATACACAAGTATAAGATAGTGACTAGGGGAAGCTAAAATAATTTAGGAGGTACTACAGTAACTCACACGGAGGATAATGAGATTGTGGAACTTGCAGGCCGAAGCAGCGGTTGAAGCTGATAGTGCAGATAATTTCAGAGAAAGCTAGATATACACATGAGGGAGAAGGGAATAGAAGTGTATAATAATAATCCTTGCATTTGGTATAGCGCTTTTCACGTCGGGAGGACGTCCCAAAGCGCTTCACAGAACACACTGTAAAGTGAATTGACTGTATATTTGTGGGCGAACGCGGCAGCCAATTGCGCACAGCAGTGTCCCACAAACCGTCATAGATTGAAAATGACCAATTTTTATTATTGTTTTGGGTTTTTGGAGGGATTATTATTAGGCGTGTGGAGTAAGGAAACTTGCCCAAGGTTTCGCCCTGCCTGGAATTGAACCCAGGTGTCTCACTTGCAAAGCGAGTGCTCTAACCACTGAGCTGCAGGACTCCACAATGCGAGGGAGTAAGGAATGAGTGAAGACTCATGTGGAATATAAACACCAGGACAGACTGGTTGGGCTGAATGACCTGTTTCCGTGCTGTAAATCTATGAAGGTCAGTTTCATTGCTGGTCTGTATCAAATCACCGCATGTCAGGCAGGGCAATTGTGGACAGTCCAATTAGCCTTGCTGTGCCAAGAGTAGGAGGGGGGTGGAAATTAAGCAAGCATCCTTGCTTATGATCTCCATCAAGTGAATCAAGTGCAGGTGATATCGTTGAAAGATTGGCTGGCAGTTACATTCCAGGTTCATATGTGAAGAATGGCATTTGTATAAGAAGGATGGTAAGTTGGTAAAAAGGTTTCTAGTGTCTGCACAAGGTGCTCCAGTCAATTTACTGACTCAGGAGACGATGGGCAAAAAAATGAAAAAGTTGGGTAAAAAAATTCTGAATGCAAAAAATCCACTCAATAACATCATAATTTCTTTAAAGTTTCAGGCTAGGACATTATCACATCTACCTTTTCTAGGTAGGGTTGGAACAGATGAGGCATTGTGTGAGAATAAAATGCTTACACTACCTCTTTCCTCAGATTCTTTTTTTCTTCCTAGCCCTCCCCCCCCCCCTCAAAACACCTCATCCCACGTTACTGAAACCAACCTACTATGATTGTGTTTAGAAATACTGGAAATTCCCCATCAGGTAGAATTCACAATAATATAACGAGAATCAGATTTAACTGACTCCCTGTCTGAATGGAAGATATTTTGTGCATCTCTGCAATAGGACCAGAAGGCTGTGGGTTGAAGCTCCATATCAGGACTTTGAACTCATGAGTCTAGGCTCCATTGGCTTAGCCGCAGAATGGATCAATTTGAAGATCCTCACATTCACCTACAAATCACTTCATGCTGAAGCACCTCCCTACCTCTCCAACCTGCTCGCACCCTCTCTTCTCTACCTGGCCATTTCACTCAGCGGGTTTGGGC